GACCCCCCCCCCCCCCCCCCCCGCCCCCCATCCCAGGCCAGCGCCCCCAAGCCCCCCCGGCCGGCCCGCCGCACCCCCAAGGGTCCAAGCCCCGCAACAGACCGTGTGTCGGGGCCTGCGAATCCCGGATGCCTGCGGGGAGCCCCGGGCTGCTGCGGGAACGGGTCCGCCCGGTTCCCGGAGTGGGAAGACCCGAGCCAGCCGTGCGTGCACGCAACCCTCCGCCCTCAGAGTTCAGTCTCCTCCCGTGCCTCCCAGCACTTAGCCGCCTCCAAACCTGGAAGCGTTTGCCCGCGTTCTTTCAGGTCTCCATTTCAGAGCGCTTAAGTTTTTCTAACTTCCTATCTGGGCCATTACTATTACTTTTAGGTGCAGTATTGGAATAAAAAGCAATGTTCACACTTCATCTCCTTCAATACTAGAATAAAGTCTTCCTTGCCAGGTATATAGATGAGTGCACATACATGCATGTATTTTTTTGTACATATGTAATGTTTTATTCTGCACCACTTTACTGTCTGATAAACACAGGGATTTTGATGTTTGTCTTGAATACCTTTTTCAATGATGATACAAGTATTATCGCAAATCCATCTAGCAAGAGGACAAGGAAAGTTTATTTGGGAGGAATAAATGATTAAGTCCATCCTTTCAAGTACATTTTAACCGTAGGAATAAGGTAAGTAAACATGTTATATTAAAAGACGCCGACTGTGAATAAGCATCATGAGTGATAACAAAATTCAGTGCACAGTTTCTTGTGGAGACAGGAGGTCAAGGGGAAAGTCTTTGTAAAGAATGATGCTTGGAGATGAGAGCTAAAGGATGGGCCCTACGGGGTTTGCAGGAAAATCATCTGCAAGGAATTAAGGCCAGGAGTCAGGGAAGAATTTACAGTGCCTTTTAGGACTGCCAACGGGAAGATGATAGCATTAAATGTAAAAGGTAACTATAAGTGGAGCACCTCCGGGGCTGGTGAAGTTACTGGAACTTTGACACTCACTGAAGGAATGTGGAGGAATTTCAAGCGGAAACAGTTTTAGAGGAGATGAGACTGAGGGAGTCGGTGGCCAGTAAGAATTAATTGATATGGCCCAAGAAAGATGACCCAACCTAGAGGAAGAAACAGTGGCAAAGGGGACAGTAAAAATGAATAGGTGCCTGACGATGGTGCAGTACGCCTTTGATCCCAGCACCTGGGAGGCAGAGGCAGGCGGATCACTTGTGAGTTTCAGGCCAGCCTGGTCTACAGAGCTATGCAGAGAAACCCTGTCTTGAAAAATCAATCAATCAATAGATAAATAAACAAATAAACAAACTGCCCTACTAAGGCAGAATCTACCAATCTGGTGTGGCTGAAATGGTGAGACTGACCAGGGCAAGCCACAGTTCTAGAAGGCATCAGGCAGGGGGTAGCATTATTAAAAGCACAGCTAACATTAGTACTAATGAGTTCTTAGAGATGGCACTCCTGCTTGTTTTCTGGAAATAAACAAAGATGGGAAAATGAGAGGATTCCATTCCCTGATTGATTGCTGTTGGGCTCTTGCTCTGTGCTCAGGCAGCCTTGAGAAAAGAACTGTCAAACCACTTTAAACACTCCACAGAGCTACATGCCAGCTGCAGCCATTTGCTAAAACACAACTCAGCTTCTAAAGGTGCAGGTCAGAACTGTCTCAAACAGCTTGTACCAAACTTTTCTTGGAACCATTTCCATGCAGGCCAGATTGAGGACATGTCCCCTGCTGGTAGCCTACAAGAGGGACAGTTGTGACTGGTACAGAAGGGACCATGTTGTGGTTAGTGTCAATAAAACCCTTCCTTTGCAGGAAGGTCATAAGTGACTAGTACAAACACCCCCTTTCTGGCTTGTAATATAAACAGACTGCCCCCAGTTCAATCTGTGGGCCCCCAGGCAGATACCCTTTGGTTCTTCTCATTGTTACAATAGGCCCAATTAAAGGCTCTTCAATGGTATGGCCTTTTCATGATAAATTTTTAAGGTAACATATAGAAGCAATGGGTTTCATCACTGCCATTTTTTATACATATCTGTCACTATACTCCGTTCTAACCGCGCCCCCACACACTATGTGTCCCCTGCCTCCATTACCTAGATACCTTTTCCTAGAACATAACATACCCCCTTCTGATTCTATCACCCTCTCTACCTTTAAATCTCATGACCCCTTTTTCTAGTTCTATTACACACACACACACACACACACACACACACACACACACACACATTGTCACAGTGATTAAAATCCTCACATTTCACTTTTCTAACACGGGGCTGATGCTGTGTTTTAAAGGGGAGATTAGAAGACCTGTCTCC